CAAAAACCTCTCCAAAAAAAAAAAAAAAAAAAAGAATGAAATAAAATGACAAGAAAACCCAAACACCCAAAGTACACAACTCAGTGATTAACTATAGAGTAAATAGGCACTTGGTCAAGAAAAATAACATTGCAGAACCCTTCATCCAATATAACTACTTTCCTTATCTTGCCTCGGGCTTTTACCATCTAAATACGGACACTTAGCCATTTTGTATGCTATAATGATATACAGTGATTAAATGTAAAATAAAAAGATAATTAAGAATAAAGAAGCAAGAAAAAAAATACTGACCATAAAAAAATGGATGCTAAAGATTATGCTACTTTTTACTTTTTTTTTAAGAGAGAAGCTTGCTATAGGCTGCATGTGCTCACATGTGTGCGAGAAAGACAGACAGACAGAACGTGAGAAATCACAACCCAGAGGGGATAGCCATGCTGCAATCCTTTCTCCTCCATTCTCCTCTTGGGAATTTGGGCACGCACGCACACATGCCTGGTGAGAGGTTTAAGCTACTGGTTCTGGGACTGGAACTGCGGTCAACTACATGGGAGGCCAGCAATGTAACTATTACGCCATCTGCTGGTCCTAAGTTTTGTCTACTATAAATAGGATCAGAAAGTATTCTGTGTTCCTCTGTTCAACATTCTTATGAGATTGTCCAAATTGTTCCACCTAACTGTGGTTTCTTCATTTTCTTGCTGTAATGGCACACTATGCCAAATGCCTTGGTGGGCCTGTATTTGTATGGCTGTCCAGTAATGAATTGTTTTGTGATTTTTTTCAGGGTTGGACAAAAACAAAGAATATGTGATAAAAACTGTATATGGCTCACATAGCCTATAATATTTGTAAATAATAGACTAGACTTGTACCATATTTGACTTCATGAATATACCATAATTTATCAGTCCATTCTACTATTAATTATCCAGTTTTCACATTTTAGTTAGTATAAGTAATGATGCTATGGATGCAGCAATCCCAGTATTAGGTATATATTTTTTTAAAAAAAGAATTATTTTATTTAGCTAGCTAGCTAGCTACCTTGCTGGCTTGCTTGCTTTATTCTCTTGATCTTAGTTTGACTAGAGAGGGACAGAGAGAGAGAGAGAGAGAGAGAGAGAAAGAAAATGAGAAAGCAAGCCGCCAGATCAAGGACTCGAACCACAGTCAGCCATGTGGGAGTCCAGCACCCTTAGCCACCATGCCACCCAATGGCCCCATATTTTTTTTTCTTTTTTTGCCACCGGGTCCGGGACTCGAACCGCAGTCTACTACATGGGAGTCCAGCAACATAGCCATTACACTAACTGCTGGTCCTGGCCCCATATTTTTTTTAAGAAGTTTTTGCCTTAAGGTGTGTGTGCTTACTGGAGAGAGACAGAGAGACAGGGAAAGTGAGAAATTGCCCTGCAGGGGGGATGACCACATTGCAATCCCTTCTCCATTCTCTTCCTGAGACCTTGGGCATACATGCACACACACCTGGTGTGAGTTTCAAGCCACCAAGTCCAGTATTCAAACCACAGTTGGCCATGTGAGAGTCCAGTGACATAACCACTATGCCATCTGCTGGCCCCCTAGATATATACTCAAAGGAAATGAAATATGTACACCATAAAGCTATTTGCACTCCAATGTTTATTACAGTTCTATTCACAATGACCAACATACGGCATCAATCTAAGTGTCCATCAATAGATGGGTGGATAAAGAAAACATTACACACACACACACACACACACACACACACACACACGAATACTATTCAACC